AACTCAATAGGCTTAGGGGATATATCTATAGCCAAATACTCTTACTGATCCTAATCAATATAGTACTAAAATTTTTAGCCAGAGATACTGAGACAAAAATAAAAGGTATGCAAACAGGAAGAAAGAAGTCCAACTATCCCTGTTTGTAGGTAGTATGTTTCTATGTATAGAAAAAACTTGATGCTACCAAAAGATTATTAGAACTGATAAACAAATTCAGTAAAGTAGCAGGATGTAAAATCAATTTATGGAAATCAGTAACTTTTCTATACACTGATAAGTACTTTGTTGAGGAAAAAAATCATTAAAGTAATATTATTCACATTACCCACAAAATACAGTAATATCTAGAAAATAAAGTTAACCAAAAAACTGAAAAGCCTCCACAATGAGAAATACAAAACACTGATGAAAGAAATAAAGAAGATATAAAACAGTGAAAGAATTTCAGTGTTCATGGTTTGAATTAATATTGTTAAATTCCTATATTGGTCAAAGCAATTTACATATACAATGAAATTTCTATTAAAATACCAAAGATATTCTTTACAGAATTTTAAAAAATCCTAAAATTCATATGGAAGCACAAAAGATCCTGAATAGCCAAAGCAATCGTAAGTAAAAAGAACAACATTGTAGACATCGCGGTAACTGATTTCAAGACATACTACACAGACATAATCACCAAAGCAGCATGGAACTAGAATAAAACTACCACACAGACCAATGAAACAGTGTAGAGATTCCAAGAATAAATCCATACCTTTATAACCAAATAATTCTTGAGAAAAGTGGTTGTATCAGTTAGAGCTTCCAAGAGAAATGGATTTAATATAAGATGTATAAATATATAAACATTTACAAGATTGGCTTACAGTGGCTGCCTGCAGAGGCAGGTGTGGAAGAGTGCAGAAGGTCTGTGTGTACACTGGCGATCCAGAAGTTCCAGCTGGGGGCCTGGAGCTCACCATAGTGTCGTGTACGAGTCTGTATTAGGGTGCCAAAGGTTCTGCACTAGAAAGCTGAAGAGTCTGCACTGGAAATCAGGAGAGGATATCCACGGCAAAAGAGAAGACTGGAGCTCCTCCAAAGAAACAGAAGCGAGCTGCCCTTCGTTCTCTCTTATTCCATTCCAGCAGCAAGCCTATTTATTGGTTGTTGTCACTCAGAGAGCAGGTGGGTCACCTGTCTTTTAGTAAATCCCTTCAGCCACACCCAGAACTATGCTGATCAATTTAGTTGGGCGTTTCTTACTCAAATTTACACAATCAGTTAGCTAACACAGTATACAACATACCGAACAAAGAACATCCTCTTCAATAAATGCTGCTTGGAAAGCTGGATGTCTGTATGCAGATGGTGGAACTTGACCCCTTGCTTTCACCTTGTAAAAAGATCTTTTCAAAATGGGCGAACAACCTAAGTGTAATAGTTGAAGTTGAAATTATTAGAAGAAAATACGGGAGAGATATTTCAAGACATTGGTACAGGCAATGATTTTTCTGAATGGGACCCTAAAAGTTTAGAAGACAAATGTTAAAATTGACAAGTAGGATTACATCAAACTAAAAGTGCCTACACAGCAAAAGATAGACAAACCCTAAAAACAAATTTCCCAGCCCACCCCAAACTGATTATTAACAGTGGAAAAATGGATGAAAATATATGTCAGCTATTCATCTAATAGAAGGATATAAAAATATAAAAAGAGGGCTGGGGATTTAGCTCAGCGGTTTGGTGGCCTGCCTTGCAAGCGCAAGGACCCAAGTTCAATCCCCGGTACCAAAAAAAAAAAAAAAAGAATATAAAAGGAAAATTTAAAAACCTTAACAACAAAAGATGAGCAATCCAATTTAAAAATGGATGCATCATCTGACACTGTTCAAAAGAAGTACAAATGACTGATAAATATATAAAAAATGCTCTGCATTATTACCCATTTCAGACATGGAAATCAAAATGACAGTGAAATATTAGCCCACTCCAATTAGAATGGCTCTTAGAAAGATCAGCAGCAACAACCCTCAAATGAAAAAATAACATGCTGTTGAGAGTACAGAGAACAGGGTACTCATATACTGTTGATGAAACAAATTAATCCAAGCATTATAGAGAATTGTACAAAGGTTTCTCAAAAAACTAAAATTAGATTTAGGTATGCATCCAATAAAATAAACTTACCAAGGAAATTATCTTCACGTGCATGTTTATTGTGAACCATTTATAAAAATTAAGACAAGGAATCAGCCTAAGTGCCTAACAGATGAGTAGACAAAGGATATATGGTATACATGATGGAATATTTTAGAGGCATAAAGAATTAAATCTTGTCATTTGCAGTAAAATGGGTGGAATTGGACATTACCTTTGGTGAAATTACTCAGATGTAGAAAGACAGCTACACATGTTGTTTCTCATACATGGAAGCTAAACATGTCAGCCTGAAAGTAGAATAGTGGCTACTACATGTTGGAAATGGTGTATTTGTATGCAAAAAGAGAGGCCAGATTTGTTTAGTGCATGTTTTGTGCATATATGGAAATATCGCACTGAATCCCATTAACATGTACAATTAATATGTTAGTGAAAAATTAAAAAAAGCTATCCTCATACATACTATAACACTCCTAGTCTAATGTGCAACAACATGCATTTTTCAGGGTATGGAGAAGCTCCTTGGGTTTGGCCTCGAGCTTATTTTTACTTGTAGTATTTTCAAAATGCGATCATTACATTGTAATTATATGATCATTTGTGTTTTAGCTATGGTAAAAATAAAAACAAATATAAACCATCACAACAACCAAATAGCTTCCAGAGAACTTATTAATTATTCCTGGTAAGTCACATGGTCCTTCCATAATTCTTATCTGTATAAGTTTCCTGTGGGAATAGAAATCACAGTAAAGAGCCCATACCCCAAATGCTGCCTTCTCTGCATGATTTATTTATACAGAAGGGCAGGTTCTGCCCAACAAGCAGCCTAATTAGTGGTTGAACTGTTGCTTTTCCTAGTGATTTAATACCAGGTGTATTAATTTCAGTATCCAACAGAATGAAATGAATGTCCTGGACTATTTTTTCAATAGCATTTGACATCTCAGCATTTCTCTGAAAATCAGTTCATAGCATTTAATAGTGTGTCTTGGTGTTTTTTATAAGGCACTTTGGTCCTTACGTGAACTTTTGTTCACTCTGCACTATTTTAAAGTTTGCTTCTTTGGAATAGAAGAGGTCAGTGCCACTTAAGTGCTATTTCTTATAGTCAGTTGGGGATGTTGATTCAAATATATCCACTTTCCTATGTTTTCTTTCTAAATTATTTCTAAAGCAATTATCGCTTTTAGGGTATGGTTTGGAATATTGTTTTTGCTTTTTGTCACTTAGCTCTTGAGTATTCATAATTGTTATGCATTCTCTTCTTAGTTATGAAGATTGTTGAGATAGCATATATCCTCACCAAAATTATCATTCTCATTAGTAAGATTCATGCAGGGCTGCTTATCTGTGGTTCATTGAATAGTGGTATAAAAATACAATGGTTTAGATATTATATCCTTAAGGGGATGAAAACTGAAGGTTCTGACCCAGTGAATTTCTAAGCAAATGCTACTGGCTGTGTGGTCTATGTGCAGTGACAAATGCATGTCATACATGCTTATTGATATGACATGTTAAACATATTTTGTGTTATGTATCATGCATTGTCTTTCAACATCCATTTCAACTTCTTACTAGAATACTCTGGTTCTGTAAAAGCTGGAAATATCTCTTAGACTTTCTCAGAGATAAGATAGTGAATTTGGTTAAAGTTCTTGTCTGTTAGCAGAATTTTTGCTGGGATTCCTGTGATGCGTCTCTGAATTAACATGTGACCAGATGCAATGAGTTATGAGACGTAGGGAGAGGTGAAGTAGATTCTGCTGTTTCCTCCACCGTTCACAGCCATAGGGATGTTGCTTTGCTTCGCTCTCGGTAATGGTCCCAGGGTCCAATCATTGGTTGTATGGGTGTTTAGAGGCAGGGTGTAGAATATTAGCGAAGCAGGAATTGTGTGATTTATGATCTGGTAGCAGTGGCAGCTTTTTGCTTGGGTGACCCCCTAGAGCACAGTGGTTACATAATCCAGCTGCTTTCCTGTTGGTGTTTGTGTCCTCATTGCAGCAGTGTACTTTGGTTGTGGAACTGGCAGCATCCCAGGGTGGCAGGAAGCTCTGGATCCCAGAAAGGGCAGCATTTCGTCTGGTGGCACCGTTCTGTGCTATGCCTTGGGAATGACTTCTGAAGGCTCAACTTAGAGGTATTTCATCAGCTCTCTCTAATTAAAAGCCATATAATTATCTGATTAGAATGTTTTTCTTCTTAGAATAGCCAGAGTAGATTCTGTTCTCTTGAACTGAACCATGACCAATGTCCCATTTGGCTGTGTACATCTTCCAAAATGTTCCAAGAAGAAGTCGTTGAGCTTTTTTTTTTTTCCATTACAACCATTATGGTGACCAGTATAGAGATTTATCAAAGAACTAAAATAGACATTTCATATGACCTGGCTACTCCACTTGTAGGTATTTTCACTGAAGAGCTTAAGACACCACTGAGTTGTATATTATCTAAAGGGAAAGTCGTGGAAGTGTCATTGCAAAAAATTACAAATATTATAATTATAATGGGATCCTTTTCAAGTCATTGCAGAATGTGGATATGTACTCATGCTTCCCTTTATTGAGATGGTAGAGAGATATCCCTAGGTCCATAACTTTATTTATAAAATGTTTCTTAAACTACACTTTGAAGCATGACAAAACTGCATTGTTTCAACTACAAAAGCAAGAGCAAGCAGAAATGCACTCTCCACAGGAATTGTTTTGCCTGCAGGATCCCGTCATTCAAACTAGTGATTGAAAATACCGGTATTCTAGTGAATGTCTAAGGCTACTTACTTCTGTAGGTTAAGGGACAGGGCTAATTAAAGGCCAAGGCAGTGGCTCCTATCACCAGGTGAATCATTTACTTTAACTCTCTTTTGTGGAGTCAGCCTTCAATCTTTGCCCTGCCTAGTCATACTGCCTGCCTGTGAGAAGAGAAAGTGGTGGAAAAGTAGCAAGAAATACTTTCTCAAAATGCTTTCATGGTGAAGGGTCAGCAGCATAATGTACCTGAGAGACTATGCACTCCAGTTTTTCTCCAGGGACAAGAGGGAAATGTAATCTGTCAAGCAACTGTGAACCTTGATAGCTGAACAGACAGGCAGAAAGGAACCTCACTACTATGGCTTAGGAACAAATTTGTATCATCAAAGAAAATGGTATGTATTGAATAAGGTGGAAGAGTGATAGGAACATGTTGAGCATATGAGAATTTAATTCATACCAGGAGTTTAAGAGGGATACAGGATTAGGTGGCAGAAAGATGGGCCAGGAAAAGCAAGGAACTATACTGCTTCACATTTACTTTCAGCTATGTATAATACAGATTTATTTTTCCAAATAGTGGCTTAACTACACAGACGATCAATGTATCCTATTAATTAAAAGAAGACTGGAAGTAGCATGGCAATTCTGCAGTCATCAAGGACGCAATTTCTTTTTGGTTTTGTTATCTGTTTTCTAAATGAATGGTTTCCATTGTCAAAGACAACTCGTGATTCAAGATAGTTACTGGGCAGAACTAGTGGCACATGTGTAATCTTAGCTCACAGGGAGGTGAGAAGATCACTTGAGCCCAGGAATTCAAGGCCAACTAACTTGGGGGATATAGAGATCCCTTCCTAAAAACGTGCTGCTGGAGTTCCCGATGTCATGTCGGCTTTCCATCCAGCAGAAGGACAGAGGGATTTTCCTTCCCAAGCTGCCAGACAATCCTTCCTCATATATCTCCCTGGCCCGAATTTAGTCACATAGCGTCACTTAGTTGCAAGGTAAAGTGGGAAATTGAGTCTTTTTGTCAAGCAGTGAAACATCTAGATTAAATATGGGGTTCTGCTGGTGGAGGAGAAGCAGAGCATAGATAGCAGGCTGCTTGTGATCTCTACCATAAAGGCTGAGCTAGATACGAAATAAGTTTATGTTATTGTTGACTGTGGCCTTTAGGCCCTGAGCAGCGGCCCCCTTTTTACTACTACAAATGGAGTTTTTAAAACTTACTTCTGGGTGATCTAGGAAGTTGAGATAGTTTCCCAAGAATAGTGTCAAAAATTGCCTGAGCACCTGCATAAGGTTAGCAGTGACACCTGTGACCCTTTTATCTGCCTGTTGTAGAGTTTAATGGATTGAAATAATAGCAGGTGTAAGCCGGATTTCTTTGGCACACAGCCTGTGGTCCTTGTCTGACTAATGCCTCAGACAGGTGCCTGCATCTGCTGAAGCTTCTGAGCCATTCTAAGAAGGGGAAAGAAAGCAAGAGTCTTTCTGAGATCACTGTTATATGCAAGTGTATTAAGGTAATTTTAATGCCATTCACACTTAAATAAAAGGCTTGTGACTATCACAAAAAGCCTGTATTATGATGTTTTGCTTGTCCCCCCCAATTGAGCCAATACTTAAAAGCTAATTTATTTCACATGTATTTGAATAATTTGACCATTTTGGCCACACCAGTCTTACCTTTCTCCATGTTGACAACCTCTTAGTCTAAGCAGTGGCTGCCTCTTTAGATGGAACTTGCATTTTCTGGCTCCCAACTGCCCAACATTTCTGGTATCATATGTCTGAGTGTCTTTTCACTCATTGCTGTAACCTGCCTGGCACCTGTGAGCATATATACTTCTGATCCTTTCCATGGAAGGCTGAGGAGAGAATGATGCTGCTGGCCTGCCTCAGTTGCTGTCTTGGTGGGAGACACATACGGAGGACTCTTAGCCTGGAGAGATGAGAAAGGAGGTGAGATAAAATTGGGACCCTGGAAAAAAAGAGCTTGACAAAAAGAGCCTGAAGGCTTGTTCAGCGTAACACCACCATAGGTCATTTGTAGGTGGACACATACCTGCACCTAACAGGCACATAGCTTTACCACCACTGGTATTTCAAGACTCCACATGAAATGGGCTCCTAAAGAAGCCTTGGTTTATAGAGTTAGAGCCAGGATGTTACTATGGATTCCAGCCAAGTTGTTCCAACACAGGTGGAGTGACTGAAGTGATAATTGGCTAGGATAATATTTTCAGGATGGTGGTTCTAACAGATGGTGCTATTGAAATCCTTTCCTACAATCTCCAGGAATTACTCTATAGCCTGCTGTACTTAGGAGGCTTATTCAAATGGTTCATAAGCTAGGCCCATATTCCAACTGCTTGGCCGTCTATTCATTGACAATCTGAATTCATGAAGTGGATATTCAAATAAAAGATGAAATATATAACTGCTTCCCAAATCATTCACCCCTCAATGCATGTATTTTTGCAACCCTTAAAAATTAACTTAGATGTAACTTCAATGCACAAAAGATAACAAAAGAACCCTAAAAAAGTGTTTGGATTGAGGTACTTCCAATTCATAAGAAGATACCAGTGTCCATCAGCAGTGTTGGGATGATGACTTTTTTTTTTTTAACTTTGACTACTTGATTTGTACTTTTTTTTTTTTTAATAACCAGAGAGAGGACTGGATTCTGTGCTTACCTCTTGCCTATTTTATCAGTTGCAGTTTTTTAAATTGTCGCTTCAGTTTCTTCACCTGAATCTTTTTTTAAATTTCATTAAGTTTATTCTTACATTTTAGGTATACAATGTGATGACATTCATCATAGGGATCTTGTACCTTTACATGATGTAATTTGGTTCTTTTTTCTGCATCCCCCTCCCCTACCTTCAACCCCCCTTATTTGTGCTGTCTCTATTTGATATTCCTTAGATGAAGAGGGCTATAATTGTAAAATCTGATTTTATTCATTATAACTATGGCTGCCTCAATATATATTTTTTCATTGTTTATCGGTACATTTAAGGTAAACAGTACAGCTACATTCATCATTGGGGTCTTTTATCTTTAGTGTTATTGTAACAATAGTAACACATATCAGTTTCATTTTTGTTTGAGTTTTTAATCTTTATTTGTGTATTTTGTTGATCTGAAAATATCCATAGAGAAGTTCCCTCAGTTTAAAGTTAATATTTCTAGTATAAAGTCAGATGCATTCAGTCCTTGTATCAAGATATTAACTACATTCTGCACATGAGAAAAATAGCAATGTGTGTTTTATTAGGTGTTATGAAATGTTTATCATTGCTATATCTTAATACATTCATTTTTTTCTATTAGGTTTTATTAAATATATTTGAGGAAGACTTTCTTAGTATCTCTTGAAGATACTGTTTTATATATACATGGTCATTAACATGACATATTTTAACATCAAAAGTATTAACAAATTCTTTAACAATCTTTTATTTAAATCTTAGCAAAACTGAGTTATAGATTCTGTTTTCTGGGGAGGGTTAGATATGGGATTCTTTTCTTTCCTTATTTAATGTTAGGACGCTGAAGTTAAGATATACATTTTAAAATTTGTATTAGGTTTCTGTTACTGTGACAAAATACCTGAGATATTCCACTTATAGAGAATAAAGGTTTATTTTAGCTGACAGGTTGGTTTTAGTTCATAATTGGTTCCCTGGATTTGGGCCTGTATCAAGGCAACAAATTATGGTGGAGCATGGTAGAGCGAAACTGCTCACCTCAGGGTCCCAAAGCAAAAACAGAAGGGGCTAAGGTCTCACATTCCCCTTCAAGGGCAAGCCCAAGTGGCCTAAAGACCTCTGTTTTATCTCACCTTCTGAGGTTTCTACTCCCTCTCTACAACTGTAAGGACCAAGACTTTAACACTTTGGCTTTAGGGGACATTTAAGATCCAGACTGTAGCACTAGTCATGTATTTTTGTTTTTAAAATGTATATTCAATTATAAAGGTAATATACATTTCTTATGGGAGTTTTTTGTAATATAGAGAAAAACTGAAAAGAAATTTGAACAAATATTCTAGAAATCATCAAGGTCATCATATTGGAAACTGAATTTTCAGATATCAGATTTAACATTATTTCATAAAAACTTTTATCTATAATGTGGATATAACTACTCTATTAATGAAGTGTCATAGTTCATTTAGGCTGTTTCAAAACTTTTGTCTACTAAGACTGATGCTATATGAAATATTTTTGTGTAGATTGTTTCTATAGTTTAAAAAATTTTAAGATTTAAAAAAAATTGTGAATTCCCAAAGATAGATTTAGTGGTTCAAGGGATATATTTTGCTTAACATTACTTTGCAAGGATCACACCCAGGCATCCAAACATTCTGTCTGGCCTTTCTGTGTTTGAGGCATCAGGTAAGTGGCTGGGAGGAAAAGCAGTGGAGAAGGAGTGAGGAATAAAATCATTCCGTTTTCTACTCAGGTTCTTGTTTGTTAAGTAAAAGGTATTTGTTGTCTGATGGGCAGTCATATTGAGCTAGCCTGCCCCAAACTAAGCTTATAGTATTGATCCTGCTGTTCAAGGGACAGCACCAAGATCCTGACGTCTTATTGAGACAAATCAAATAATATACCCTTGAATGTTTACCATGTAATTGTCAGAGCAAATAAGTATTTTGCTCAGCTAAGTAGTTGGGCAGGAATCTGGATGAGAAACCTGCTTTTCACTCAAACCAATATTTTCAACAATCAGACAGAATAGGTGTCCTTTACCAGTGTGGCTGGAAATAAAATATACAATCCATTTTTTTTTTTTTTTTTGGTTCTGGGGATCAAACTTGGGACCTTCTCTTGAGAGGTAGAACCACTGAGCTAAATCCCCAGCCCTCCAATCCATTTTCTATGTAACAGCTAGGGTGATCTTCTAAGATAGAAGTCAGATCTCTCGGTGCCAATATAAAACCTTCCATGGCCTTTTAATGCTTTTAGATTAAAAGCAGAGCTCCTTATCATTTCATACAAGTGTCCATATCATCTGGCTTGTACTGCTCTTTTGTCTCAAGCACACTTATCTTGTTTATTGACTTCGACCACACTCAAGCCTTCTGTCTCTTTCTTGAGCTCATCAGGCTTATTTCTGTTCAGGGTCTCAGTACTGGCTCTTTTCTCTGCTCTATGCCCTGACTGTGCTAGTTCTTGGGCATCATTACGTCACTGCTCAGATGTTCTCCTCAGAAGGACCTTCCTTGGCCACTCTATTGAAAGTGCTGTGCTTTCATCCAATCCACTCTGTACTATGACCTACTATCCTGTTTGTGTGCTTAAAGTCATTTTGTCTCTTTGCTCACTTGTTTCAGCTCAATATGAGAAGGGACCTTTCTCTTTAAATCCATTGCATC